TGTTTGTTAACCCCTTCAAAGAACTCTAATTGATTAGTAAGACAGGATTTCCCTTTACGGAAATCATGTTGACTTTTGTCCAACAAATTATGTTCTACCGTATGCTTCACAATTTTATTCTTTAATATTGTTTCGACTAATTTGCCCGGTACTGACGTTAGACTTACCGCTCTGTAATTGCCCGAATCGCCTCTAGAGCCCTTTTTAAATATTGGTGTCGTTTTGTCCTAGCCTCAGATGCCAAGGAAAACAATTTGTCTCCCTCCTCTTTGTAACACCCTTTTAGATACTTGAAAACTACTATTATGTCCCCTCTCAATCTTCTCCTTTCCAAACTAAACAAGCCCAATTCTTTCAGTATTCCCTCTTAGCTCTTGTTCTCTAGGTCTTTAATAATTCTTGTTGCTCTTCTCTGGACATTTTCCAATTTCCCCATATCTTCTGGACACAATACTCCAATTGAGGTTAATGCATCCCAGAATCATGTTTTATTTTTTTGCAACAGCGTCACACTGTTGACTCATATTTAGCTTGTTGTACACTGACCCTTAGATCCTTTTCTGCAGTACTCCTTCCTAGACATTCACTTCTCATTCTGTATTGTGAAACTGATTGTTTCTTCCTAAGTGGAGTACTTCACATTTGTCCTTATTAAACTTCATTCTATTTGCCTCAGACCATTTCTCCAGTTTCTCCAGATCATTTTGAATTATTACTGTGTCTTCTAAAACACTTGCAACCCCTCCAGGTTGGTGGTATCTTTAAAATTAATCGTACTCTTTATGCCATTTTCTAAATCATTGATGAAGATATTGAACAGAAATGGTCCCAAAACAGACCCCTATGGAACCTCACTTTTTATGGCCTTCTAACATGATTGTGAACCGTTAATAGCTACTCTCTGAGAACGGTTATCCAGCCAGCTATGCACCACCCCATTTACGTTGTAGCCCCATTTACGTTGTATTCGCCTAGTTTATTGATAACAAGATCATGCAAGACTGTATCAAATGCCTTACTAAAGTCTAGGTATACAGTGTCCACCACTTCTCTTATCCACAAGACTTGTTATCCTACGAAAGAAAGCTATCAGATTGGTTTGACATGATTTGTTCTTTACAAATTCATGCTGGCTGTTACCTATCACCTTATTTTTCCCATAATATTTGCAGATGAATTCCTTAATTACTTGCTCCATTTTCTTTCCTGGCACAGAAGTTAAACTGACTGGTGTGTAGTTTCCTGGGTTGTTCTTATTTCCCTTTTTATAGATGGGCATTATATTTGCCCTTTTCCAGTCTTCTGGAAGCTCTCCTGTTTTCCATGATTTTTCAAAGATGATAGCTAGAGGCTCAGATACCTCCTCTCTCAGCTCCTTGAGTATTCTAAGATGCATTTCATCAGGCCCTGGTGACTGTGGACATCTAACTTTGCTAAGTAATTTTTAACTTTTTTTATTTTATCTTCTAAACCTGCCCCATTCCCACTAGCATTCACTATGTTAGGCATTCCTTCATCATCGGACTTCTTGGTGAAGACTGAAACAAAGAAGTCATTAAGCACCTCTGCCATTTCCAAGTTTCCTGTTGTTGTTTCTCCCTCCTCACTGAGTAATGGGCCTACCCTGTCTTTGGTCTTCCTCTTGGTTTTAATATATTTATAGAACATCTTCTTGTTACTCTTTATGTCTGTAGTTAGTTTGAGCTCGTTCTGTACCTTGCCTTTCTAATCTTTCTCCTTCATTCCTGTATTGTTTGCTTACATTCATCCTTTGTAATTTGTCCTAATTTTCACTTTTTATATGACTCCTTTTTTATTTTTAGATCATGCAAGATCTTCTGGTTATGCCAAAGCAGTCTTTTGCCATACTTTCTTTCCTATGCAGTGGAATAGCTTGCTTTTGGGCCGTTAGTAATGTCCCTTTGAAAAATTGCCAACTCTTTTCAGTTTTTTTTCCTCTTAGTCCTGCTTCCCATGGGACCTTACCTACCAGCTCTCTGAGTTTACCTAAATCCTTACAATTATGAACACTATGATTTCATGATCACTTTCGCCCAAGCTGCCTTCCACTTTCAAATTCTCAACCAGTTCCTCCCTATTTATTAACTTCATTTCTAGAACAGCTCCCCAGTAGCTTTTTCAGCCTTCTGAAATAAAAAATTGTCCCTCAGTGCAGTCCAAGAACTTATTGGATCGTCTGTGCCCCACTGTGTTAGTTCCCCAATGTATGTCTGGATAGTTGAAGTCCCTCATCATCACTAAATCCCGCGCTTTGGATGATTTTGCTAGTTGTTTAAAAAAAAGTCTCATCCACGTCTTCTACCTGGGTATGTGGTCTATAGTAGACCCCCTAGCATGACATCACCTTTTTTTTTAAAACACCTTTTAACCTAACCCAGAGACTCACAAGACAGATGTGTTGAATGTCCATCTCCACCTTAGTCCAAGTGTATACTTTTTTAATATATAAGGCAACACCTCCTCCCTGATTACCTCTGAGTAAGCTGTACCCTTCTGTACCAATATTCCAATCGTGTGTATTATCCTGCCAAGTCTCTGTGATACCAACTATGTCATAGTTGTGTTTATTAGCACTTCAAGTTCTTCCTGCTTATTCCCCATACTTCTTGCATTTGTATTAGGGCTGTCAATTAGTGGGCATTAATACCTGCAATTAACGCAGGGTAGAATTAATCTGTTAAAAAAATTAACTCTAATTAATCACAGAGATCAGCAAACCAGCATGAGCTGCTCAGGAGCCTGTCTGTGGTAAGGTGCAGTAATGCAAACCGCCACCAGAGGGCACATGGAAAATAGAAGTAGCGAGAAAGGGGAGAAAAAAAACCCTGAAGACATCTCAAATCCAAGGGAGAAGTAAACAAGAAAAGTAAAGATCCTGACACCCATCCCTCTCCCCTCCCAGATGACCATATTTTTTAAAATAAAACAGCCTGGGTGGGGGGGGGGGGGCCTCCCCCCACATCTGGTTCTGGGGCTGAGTCCTCCCTCCTGAACTCTGCACTGCCTATGGGGGGGAGGGTCTTGCCCCCCCAGTCCAGGGGCTAAACCCTCCCCTGAGCTTGGGGGCTGACCCTGACCCCGGAGCCCTATGCCACCTGCAGTTGGGGGCTGAACCCTCCCCCCCCAACTCTGCACGGCCCACGGCAGAGTCTACCCTTCTCTGGCCCTGTGCTGTCCACAGCTGGGGGTGATCGAAAAAAGGATTCTTTTGAATAGGACACAAATATATTGATTATATAAAAGAATTTAAGTTCAGCTTTCATGATAGAATTTGCACTACAATACTTCAGTCAGGTGAACTGAAGTTTTTTTTTTTACCATGTAAATGTTTTGTAATAAAATATAAATATAAAGTGAGCAGTATACACTTCGTATTCTGTGTTGTAATTGAAATCAATATGTTAGAAGATGTAGAAAAAAATCCAAAAATATTTAAATAGATACAGTAGACTTCCGATAATCTGGAACCTTTGGGACCTAGGTGGTGCTGGATTATCAAATATGCCGGACTATCAGGAGGTACTGTAAGCTGGTTATATACTGTATCCAGTATATACTGTATATACAGTGTTTTAACCGTTTTTATTGTACATACTGGATACAGTATACTGTAATGTTTTATTTTTTTAACCCTTTTTGCTCTGTTCAGCTGCTGCTGCTGTGTTGTGACTCGGTTTTACCGAAGCTCACTCACTAGGCTCTTGCCATTTTGATGCCGGACTATGGGGAGTGCCATACAATTGGATGCCGGACTATTGGAGTTTTACTGTAGTATTCTTATTATTGTTTTACAGTACGATTAATCATGATTAATTTTTTTTATTGCTTGACAGCCCTAATTTGTATATAGGCATCTAAGATACTGATTTGATTTTGCCTTTCAGTTCTGCCTTGTCCCACTTTTTTTCTCTGCTATTATAGCCCATGCTCCCTCCCATTTCCAACCCAACTCCCAGGTCTCCATGTTTTTCACTTACCTGTGGGCTTTGGTCATCTGCCCCCGTCGAACCTAGTTTAAAGCCCTCCTCACTAGGTTAGCCAATCTGCATCCAAATATGGTCTTCCCCTTCCTCGAAAGGCAGGAGAGTCCCAACTATGGGATCATTTATCTTTGCTCCAGTTGACTGTTCTTCCCTGAGCATTTTATCCTCCTTAACAGCACAAGGGCAGTTTGAGTGGAGGTGGAACAGTTCTACAGTGTCCTGGAAAGCCTCATCTACTTACCTCTATGCCTCCCTTAGCTCCTTCAATTCAGTCCCCCTAGCCTCCAAAGCCCGTACACAGTCTCTAAGGGCCAGGAGCTCCTTGCACCAAATACATACATATGCCACCCACCCTTAGGGCAGGTAATCATGTAATCATATATACTACAATGGGTGCAGTTAACAGGATAGCCCCACAATAATTAGATTATTGATAGGATTTTTATTTAAATTAGGTAGTTTGGGATTTAGTTTAGTTTAAACGTTTTAAAGAATGTCAAGTGTACCTAGCCCCTTCTAACCCCCCCTCTAAACTCCCTCACAAAACTCCATTAGCTGCCCCTGACTATATTCACTCTGGCTATGGATGGTCTCATCAAAATAAAGATTTAGTTGTGGTCAGGTTGGGGCTGCACCATAGTAGAAAGCATCTCTTCTATGTTAAATGTTTCCTTTCGTGGCTGGGAGAGAAGGATTGTACCTGAATGAATGAAAAGAGCTCCTATATTGGGATTCAGTACTGGTTCACTTTCCTCTTTGATAACTTTGAAATGCAAGGATTAAAGATTCACTTTGTGGCTTCAAGATCTCCTGTCTAACTGATATTTATGTTGATTTATAAGTGTGGTTTTTTTTATAGTGCACATGAGCAACCTAGTTTCTTCTCATCTGCTGTAATGCCAGCTGCTTTCTTCTCTGGAGTCAGGCAATGGATTAGTGAGTCTCAGGACTGTTCCACCGTAGCCCATGGTAATGCTTGTCATTCTCTATTTGCAGTGACAATAATCAGTGGACTTATCATGCTCCTGCTTTTCTTCTCAGAGCTGCAGTACTATCTCACCAAGGAAGTAAGTAGAGATTTGTATTGCTGTCTTTTTGGGTTTGTTTTCCCTGTCTCTTGTTGGAGCCCTACAAAACAGGTAGGGCCACATATTCAGCCAAGGTCCGCCATTTGTAATTTGATGCCAAGCTCCAGAGTTTTGTAAGACACGGGGCCATTCTGTATCTACAGACTGTCTTACCTTTTCCATAGTGTGACATGGCATACATACACCAGGCAGGAAAGAGCAAGTCCCGCCCCTCACACCATGTTGGACATATGCTAGTATAAAGGGAGACAGCCCAGTTTATTTTGGGTTTATCACTAGGAGAAAGGATGTTTGGTAGATGTTCCAGCTTAGGAGCCGTTACAGTCCTTGTTTGCCGGAGCTAGAGATCCTGAGACCTAATGGGAATCCAGGGAGTTACTTGCACTGAGGAAGTCAGAGACCTTAACATTGAATGGACTGTTGCTTCAGGAAGCCCAGTAGAAAGTGACCCAGAGAGGTGGAGTGTGTGGTATCTCCCACCTGTAGAAGGTCAGTGTGTTGTGTTTGGATTTCCTCATTGAGTGGCAGACAATTCTGTCCCTGTTAGGGCCCAGGATCAGGACCAGGTGGAGTCAGGTAGGCTCAAATCCCACTACCCCAGCTGCCAGCCCATGTGGTGATGACCCAGGATATGGCCATGCAGTACACTCAAAGGCTGCTGTATCGACTTTGGCCACTAGGTCATGTAGCCCTGCACTCAAGGACCACTGTATTAACTCTGGCAACTCGCATGGTAGCTAGAATTTCATGTATGTTCCTGCCACAAAGAGCAAGATATTTCTTCTGTTTGCAGTGCTAGGTCTAGTTCTTTTGTGAACCAGACAAGAAAGCAGGATCAGTGACTTTCACTAAGATTTCGCTTTACTGTGTTTTGAGCTGGCACCAATCTGCTGGCAGCCATTCTGGTGAGATGAGTGAATTGTTCCTTTCTTCTTTACTCCCTGCATATTTCAAAGAAGATGGGAACTAGCCCTGCAGGGAGGAGACTCCTCACTCCCTCTCCCCCAACCCCCACCGATCACCCTTGTATTGGCTTCCTGTGCCTCAGATTGGGCTTGTTTTGTCTGTGTCCATCCACTAAGGCCTAGATCCCCCTGCTAGAGAAGACAGGAGAAGTCCTACTGGGCTGTTGGTTCCTCCAGCTTCTGCTGTGGACAGAGCACTCTCCTGTGTCACTAGTAGGAGATAGCCACCAGTTTCCTGCTTGTAGGCTCCCTAGTGGTGAAGAATTTGCAAAAAGTAAAATATTTTAAATTGCTTTTATTTAATTTAAACCCCAAAATTATCTCTTTTCTGGCTGGGAGCATCACACATCGTAAAAGCATGACTAGGTGTGGAAATCATGTCAACTGCTCTGTCACAGCATCTTGTAAGGTGCCAGCTTGGGTCCCACTTGTAGAGGAGGCCTTTGGCAGTATGGTGGCCTAGCACCTGTAGAGAAGCTCCTGAACCGGAGAGAAGGCAAGTGGAAAGGCCTTGCAATATATTTCTAGGTGCAATAAGACTTTCTTCTTTGTTCCTAGGTTTATCCTGAACTGTATGTTGACAAATCAAGAGGAGACAAGTTGAGGATTAATATAGATGTTGTCTTTCCACATATGCCTTGTGCTTGTAAGTAAGTCTGCTAAAGTGTTGGGGGGGGAAAAAGCAGTTTTCACCCTCTGCTAGAGATTGGGCATGCTGGCCAGTCAGTGCACCCAGCATTCGGATTTGTTAGTCTCCTGTCAATAGGAAGGAATTACATTTCCCAGTAGTTAGAGCAGGGGATTCAGTCAGGGCACCTGGGTTCAGATCCCAGAGTTGTCATTGGTCCAGTTGCTTTATTTTTCTTCAGGAGTTTCCTAATTTGTACAATAGGATAAAGCTCTTTATCCATTTCTGTAAAGTACTTTGAGACCTAATATGTGGAGAAGAGGAGCCTGGTATGAAAGGGATATCATGCCAACGTGCTTCCAAAGGCTTATCCCAGTTGCCATTAGTTTTTATAATGTGCATTCAGTGCATCCTATGGAATCACTGTAGAAGAAGTCTTGGGACCAGCTACTTCAGAGAAAGGTTTGTTATCCAGCACTCATGGGAAATGGGGGTTGCTAGTTAATTGAAATGTGCTGGATAACAAAGCTTTTTGCTCTGTCTCCTCCCCTTACCAGCAGATCCAGTTCCCATCAGCTTGAGGGGAAAGGAGGTGCCCGCTGATGAGGTTAGCAACCCCGAAATGGCCAGCTGGATAGGTAGGAGTCAGGTGCATGCACCTGAAGATGTGGCGGTATTGTGACTGGGGGCTGTGTTAGTTAACAAAGTGCCAGATGATAAAGCTTTCACTGTACAGGTTGGACCTCTCTGGTCTGGCACCCTTGGAGGGATTTTTCCCAACCAGGAAAAGTAATTTCTAGGCCCTCCCCCAGCCATGGCCTCACTGCCAGCCTCCCCAGCAGCACTTCAGTGTAGGGCTCATGGCCCCACCATGGTAGTCTTGCCTCAATAAGCACAGGGTCACAGCCCCACGGGGCAGCCTCCCTGCTGGGCTCCAGCTGCGCCACTGGGTGGCAGCCCCGCTTGGGCTTCAGCCTTCCTGGGCAACACTGCTTCCTCCTGGCCTCACTAGGCAGCTCCACTGGGCAGCAGCAGGGCTGCTGGGCTCTTTGCTGTGCCGCTGGCCAGCCCCATTCCCAGGTTGCGCGTTCAGGCTCCAAGCCCCACAGGGCAGCTCTGCTGCCTTTTAGTCCGAGTGTGCAGCTGAGACATTGGTCGGCATCAGGGCTGCTGGGCTCCTTGTTATGCTGCCCAGCAGCTCCTCTGATGGGTTCCCGGCCCACAACACCAAGCAGCCCCACTGCTTTCTGGTCTTGCCTGGTAGTTTCGCTACTAGGCAGCAGCCCTGTTGCTAGGCTACCAGTTTTGCTGCCACAGGGTAATCCCACTACAGGGCTCCAGCCACTAGCCCTCCACGAGACTCTCTGGTCCTGGAACATCACTGGTCCTTCTGGACCAGAGATGTTGACAGACCAGAGAGTCACAGTTAAGAGAGGTTCAATATTTATTTCTTCACTCTTGTGTTTAAATTCTGATCATGTATTCTAATGGAACCAAATCAGTTATATTACTGATATAATCCAATGTTTCTTCTAATTTTTTCGATCCATGTGCGGTATGAATTTTTTAACGTGTACCAGTATCAAAGTAGTGTGGTGTTGTGTGCCACCAGTAGAAGTGAAACAAAAGAAAAAGCACATTCGGTATAATATATGTATGGTGACCATATTTTCTGAATCAAAATTAGGGACATGTTAGCTACACCCCCTGACTCCCATTAGGCATGCCTCCTGCCACAAGAAGTCCCACCCCTGGATGTAGTGCTCCCAGGATCAAGATAGACACATGACCAGTGTCTTGTGATCCCTCTAAAAACTCCTTTCACCGTCGTCCTGCCAATAGGGATGGGTTTGGTCCCTACAGAACCCTCCATGCAACTATCCTGCAATTGCATTAACCCAACTTGCATTGCATTAACTTGGAGGAAAGGCTGGGGGAAGTGTTCCCTCTATGATTTTCTTCCCATGAGCAGAGTGAATTTTGTCTTGTGCACCAGTATTGAGTTCATTTGTGCTTCTTTGAATGTGTGCCACTGGGGCACCCAAGTTATTAATAAACATCTTATAAACCTCTCCTCTGCTGCCATGTCTCCTCCCCTTCCCTCACCCCATCTGCTCTTCTGGTGCCTGCTGTCCTGTCTCCTGCCCTTGTCACTCCCTTCAGCCCTTTGGGGACCTGCTCTCCTCTCCTGCACCAGTTCTTCTCTTCCTTCTTGTCACAGCTCAATCCCCCAACCTGACACTATGCGTGCGGAGATGGGGGGCCAGCTAACTGAATAAACTCTGCAATACTTGTCTCTGTGATTCCCAGACAAATTTATCCAGTCTCAGTCCCTCTGAGATTAAACAAACAAAACAACCCCAAGACTGATTCCTTGCTGCCACCACCCAAGTGATTCCAAGAAAATATAAAAATAAACCCTTTTTCCAGGGAAGAGATCTCTTGGGAAATCCCCTCCATAAGGTAAAGCCCTCTCCACCCTCCCGCCCCAACTTCCCTTTTGTTTGGAGTTGGGAAAAACAGAGGGAATCCACAGACAACAATGGACTCTACCCTTGTAACTAGGCTCCAAGGCAGCCTGGAAGAGGAGTAGGCAGTGCCACCGGACCAGGACCCTACGCAGCAAAGGCAGTCCTGTGGGGGGAAGGAGAGAATGGGGAGAGGGAGGAGCCGCATGACACTGGAAGCCAGCCTGGCTGCCCACTGTCAGAGCTCCAATGGAGCTGCCTACACGCCCTGCTGGGGGGGGGGAGAAGCTGGCTGCCCTGTACAAGGAGCAATGGCACAGTACCATTTCTTGGTTGCTTCTTCCCACAAGCCAGCGTCCTGATCAAGTAGTGAAATATCTGGTGGGGCTTTCCGGACATTTCACTACTTGATGGCACACCAGGACAGAGTATTTAAATTTGGGATTGTCCTGGAAAAATCGGAATGTATGGTCAGTGTAAATACATGTGTTGGAGTGAGGTCACAGACGACCCCTTAGGGATGATTTCCGGGATGCTGACAAGGCCACTGCCACTTGCCTTTGTGCTCTGTGGAGCTTCTTGTTACTGGGCCAGCTCCCTGGTCTCCCCCAGCCAAGGCACAGAGCTGAGAATCATGTGCCCCTCCCACCTCCCCCCCCCAAGAAGTAATGGAGACACTAAATCTCTTCAGGTCCAAGGAGAATGCAGTTTGGGCCCAGCTTCCTGGGATACCACTCCCCAGAAGTGATCAAAACCTCCGGTGAAATATTTAGGAAAGCCCCCTTTAACAACGAAAGGGGGAATGTACACACTGATTACTCCCCCAGGTAATTATTTACACTGGGTTTGATAGAAAATAGAAGTGATTTTTATTAAGTACAAGCAATAGGATTTAAGTGATAAGTGAAAAAAGGCAGAGCAAAGCAGAATACAAACTCAAAATAACAGAAAACACTTAGCTATTTCTGCACTAAAACTTCAGTACAAATTTACTACAAACTCACCCGAAAACTGTTTCTTTCCAGGCCAAGCCTTCCAAAACCAGAGCTGTTCCTCACCCTGGAGTCTTTGGTTCATATCCTTGGGTGTGCCAGCTTAAGACCAAAGACTCCTACTTTCCTATTGTTTTTAAAGATTCCTTTATTGCATGGGGAGTCACCTGGACCGTTCCTACCAACAACGGCTAAGACTTAAGGACAAAAGGCTATTTGAATATGTTTGCCCAAACACTGAGGCCTCCCTTGATTACGGATGTGAAGGACTAATCGTTTCCCCCCTCTGCTCCCCCGCATTGCTGCCTCTATCATAGAGGCAGCGAGGGCAGGGGGAGAGCATGGGGTACTTCAAAGTGGCAGCACTGCTTGAAACCTGGAGCCAGACCCTGGGCTCCATTTGGCACTGCTGCTTTGAAATGCTGCGTGCAGCCTGGGGCTAGCTGGGGTGTCCCCAGGCTGCATGTGGCACCTGGAGCCCAGTGTCAGGCTCATCATGGCATTTCAAAGAGGCAGCACCGCATGGAGCCTGGGCTCCGTTGGGGACTCCCTCACTGACCCTGGGCTCTGTGCAGTGCTGCCGTTTTGAAACACAGCGGGGAGCCTTGTGTCAGGCTTCCTGTGGCATTTCAAAAAGGCAGCACAACATCCCCAGCCCACTCTGGGCTCGATTGGGCATATTCACCTTTGAAGTGTAGCAAAAACCCTAGGGCAGGGGCCCTAGGGCAAGTTGGAGCCACCCTATTGACTAATGATCAAATAGTTGATGCAAAAATGCATCAACTATTTGATTAGTCAGTCGATACTTAACATCCTTACCCTTGATGATGACATTCATTCACACATTTAAAACGCATAAAATATTCCCTACTCCATACATCTAATTTTACGCACAGAAATGATACATACACCAAAATAAGATAAACAGATCCAGCAGATTACTTGATGTAATCTATCAATCTTCATGTCTTAATTTGCTCAAAGCACCTTTGAGTTAAATATATTTACGTCCATAAGTCCATTTCATAAAGCATGGTGGTTGGTGAACCGTCACAATGTATATTTTTAAAAAGTAACCGTAGGGGTAATTACTCCAGGACAGATTTAGGCATTTTAGAACTCAATATTCAAAGAATTAAATTCAATCATAAGAGAAATAAAGCTATGAAATGCTTAGACCAGTGAAACTAAAATAACAGCACTTTGAAAGACTAAAATTACAGCGAATATATGTGCATTACAGGAAGTACCAAGAAGTAACAAAAATACAAATATGTGTTTGGAGGTGAATGTCAGAGACTGTGTGCGCACGTGTGCGTGCATGCTTGCTCTGAGAGAAACCGGGTGTATGTGAGAGACAGATACACATACAAAGTGTGTGTCTATGCTGGCAGCTGGGGAAGTCTGAGAGATCATGTGTTGTCTTTTTAAAGCACTCACACCAGAAACCTCAGACACCAGCAGCTGAGTTCTCCTGTTCGTGAGCTCTGTCCTTCCTTCTCCCCTGCTGTGTGGAGATAGGGTACCTTGACAATCATCACCTTTCTTCCTCATCCCCCCTGCTCCTCACAGCAAACAGGAGGATCCCAGGAACAGCTGGCCAGAGGCCCCAAGGCAGAGGACAGGAACTGTGTAAGAGCAGAGGAGGGGGTAGTGGATCCTGAACACATACTGTTGATATATTGCTAAAATATTTTTACACTTAAAAAAAAATATTTCAGACGCTTGATTAGAGAGAGCTCAAGTATTAGTACTGGAGTTTCACGTTTCCATTAAGGGGTAGTGATTTAGTAGTTTAAAACAAGTGCTCTGTCTCCGATCACCCCACTGAAATGTATCTGCAGAAGATACCGCCACTCTGGGGAGGATTCTTCTCTTACTCCAAGCCCAGACATCCTCTCCTATCATATTTAAGATGGAGTGTCTAGTCCAATAAGTCTAGCAGCTTCTTTCCCCTTCCCTGTAAAGATATTGACATTGTGTCCTCAAGTAGCTGGCGAGTTCCCTGAGTGATATATCAGGGCCCAGCAAAGACTCTGTGACACAGGGGACAGTTGCTGGGATTGGGGGAGTTCTCCACATGGATTCAAGGTTGATCAGCTGAGTGAGATATTTGCAAATGTTTGGTTTGGTTATTTAGCCTGAGATCTGTCTAGGTGCAAATATAACAGCTAGCTGAAGACAAATCCCTTTTGGAAAGGACCTCAAGAACCTTGTTTGCAGAATAAAGTAAAATGTAGGGGTGCAGTTTTAAGTCACTTTGAGGTTCTCAGCTATCATGGTGCATCTTCTTATTCCATTCCTCTTCCACTCCTTGATTTTCTTGTAATCTGGAGATCTTCCTCTTAGACTCCTGCTTCTGTGCTCTTCCTCTTGTCAACAGACTTCTTGTTTCTCACTGCCTTGCTGCTTCAGTAAGCCATCTCAGAATCACAGACAATCTGCCTTAATTCTCTCTGCTTGCTGGTTTCAGATTTGAGCATTGATGCAATGGATGTGGCAGGAGAGCAGCAGCTAGATGTGGAGCACAATCTCTTTAAACAACGTTTGGATAAAGATGGAAATCCTGTTACCACTGAGGCTGAGAGACATGGTAATTCAGTGTCCTGCTGTCTTCCTATGATAGATGCTCTAATAGCCTGACTGCCGTTGAACCTCCTCAGTTATCTTATAAAGAGAATCCCAGTGACTTAAGTGGCAACTGAAGAGTATTTGAACTCATTCACAGCAGTGTAATCTTGCTGTCTAAAGTGCAGTGATATGGGATTGCAGAGATGGTTGCTCTTCAAAGATCTGCCCTGCCCAAAAACAATGACTGAGCCTGCTTTTAGGTGTTCGTTGCCCCTTGACATTTGTTTTCTCCTTTATTTTGTCTTTGGGATTTTACAGGGCCTGGGCTTGGCATTGCTGGAGTACATTATTGGCTGCCCTCAGCTCTGGAGCTGATACAGCTGCACAGAAGCTATGGCCACTCACCTCTAAAATGTTTTCCGTTTGGTGCTCCCTTTATTAATGTTAGCAATGTGGACGGGATGTTGGCGGGCTTGGACCATTATTCCCAACTTTGCTCAGAGTAAATCTAGATGATGTGCTCATTATCTCTATGCGCATGTTCAAACTTTTGATACTGTCAGTGGAGCTCACTGAAGTTAGTAGTAGGGGAAATCTTAGGGATATAAAAGCTAATATGGGAGTGGCCCCAGTGCTTGAGTGTCCTTGAAAAACCAGTCATTTATGGGAATTGGTTGGCTGAGTCTTCCTGTGTTCGTTGTCCCCAGCTTATTATACATCTCAACAAACTACATAATCCCAACACAACTGACTCTACACTGGGCAAGAGTGGAATTTGATAAAAAGAGCATTCTAATCCACAGTGAGAAGTGTGATCATGAGTAATACAAATCATAAGGTGACAGACATGCTCATAAAATCATCACATCACTTGGAAGTCTTATTTTGTTTTTAGAGCTGGGAAAAGAAGAGGAGAAAGTGTTTGATCCAGATTCCTTAGATGCTGATCGCTGTGAGAGCTGTTATGGAGCAGAGTCAGAGGACATCAGGTAAATGAAGGCTTCTCTGATCCCCTAATCTAGGGAGTGGGGGGGCTGTATACTAATCCTGATCTGACAGGAATGGGCTGTGTGCACATTCCTAATCTCCAGAATTAGAGGAGGAAAGTGGAATGACACATCTGTGGTGTTCTGACCTGGTGGAGAAGTGAGATACCAGTGTGTTTTTTCCCTAAGGGTATGTCTACACTACAGTGTTATTTCTAAATATCTTATTTCAAAATAGTTATTTCAAAATAACGCGTCTACACACAAAATGCATTTCGAAATAGCACATCCACACTGAGTGGACTGTGAATCGCATTTAAGGCTGTCCGGAACCAGTTCCAGCAGGGCACCAGGTCAGGACTTACTGTGTGGGGCTGCTGCCTGAGGTCTGTGCTTAAAGGGACCCCCGGGACAGCCAGTTCTCAGGTTTCCTTGCTTGCTTATCTACCTCGACGAGGGACAGCAAAGCATTTTGTCTCTGCGTGCTCTGATTGCCCTCACTTGGGACTCCACAGTACTCTGAACATGGATCCAAAGCTCCTGGGTGCACTGGTGCTTCTCGTGGACGCATTGCTGCGAACCTGGCTGCACTTGCTGCAGGCTGCCATCCGGGAGGTCCATCGGGGGGCTGTTGGTATCTATGAGGCCCTGTGGGAGAGCTTCCACCCTGAGGAGCACTAAGAGCCTCCCTGGTCTGCCCCACTGGGGGCTTGTGCCTCATTCCTCCCTCATGTCCTTTCACTTACCCCTCCCTAGCCCCCCTTCCTGATGTAAAATAAAACACATGTATTTTCATGAACACAAACTCTTTATTTAACAAAACTGGGGAAGAAGGAATGAAATTCTAGCGAGACTGGGTAAAGGAGGTGGGAGAGGGAAGAAGAGAGGGTGGGAGAGGAGAGGGGGAAACCTGGGAGGAGGGAGCTGGAAGAGGGAAACAAGGAGAAGAAGGGGGAGGGGAAGCTCAGGGTTGGGGGTCTCACCAGACCAACTTGATTGTCATGCAAACCTGTTCCTGGGTTCACATGTTGCCATTGGTGGCCAAGCTGGCAGCTATCCTGCCACAGACAGCCGCGTTCCTCTGTCTAGTGCGGAGATCATGGACGTTGGGGGCATCCCCCTCAAACCTGAATAAGGTCCATGATCTCCACCCATGGAGGGCTGGGTGGCAGTGTTTTGGGGCCACTGGGTCAGGGGCAGTGACTGCTGGCTCTGGGCTGGCAGGCTTGGAGCTGGCACAGGTACTGTGGCCAAAGTCTACCCCCTTTAAGGGCTCCGGGGAGGGGAGAAGGGATAAAAGTGTTCTTGCTTGAGGCCAGAGTGGCCACCAGGGCACCCTGGGAAGGCTGGAGGCCCCCTATTTCGAAATAAGTGTCTACACAGCACTTATTTTGAAATAGCTATTTCTAATTTGGCTTTATTCCTCGTAGAATGATGTTTACCAGATTCGAAATAAGCGCTAGAATTTGGCTGTGTAGATGCTAAGAAAGTTATTTTGAAATAACTTTGCTGTGTAGACATACCCTAATATACTGATCTGGATAGCAGGTGGGTGGGAGAGTCCATGCTTCCATAACCCCCTGGTTTGTAATAGGCCTCACATACTTCCTTGTTCTTCTGATGTGAGGGTGGGGAAGAGTGTAGATGTATATGTGCCCCATTCTCTGGTATCCTAATCTCAGAGAGCAAGTTGGGGTACTTTTTCCATAACCTCTCAGCAGCTTTTGCCCCAAATGTTGAATGAATCCTTATTATGTGTGAGTCCTCCTTCAAGAATTCCCATAAGGATCTGTAGTTTTGGGCTAAGCACATCTCTGTGTGTGAGCTCAGAGCAAGCTGGATAAAAGTGTCTCTTGGGGGCTCTCCATTTTGATTGGGCTCCTAGAGTAGCACAGTCAGGGATAGTTCATCATGTCTGCCTGCAGCTGTCTTTGTGGGGTGGTCTAGTTCTGTATTGCTTTCTTCTCCCCTTGCTCATTCCTGCAAGAACAGATCAGAATCTTGCCTACAGGTGTCTTGGACACACTCCTTTCCTATTTTTCTTTTCTGGATTTAGAATAATCTGCAACCTGACAGACCTTCCTGGAGATGCTGTCCTCTGGAGTGTTAACTAACAGGGCCATGGTTGAACAGGATAATGGATTTGCTTGAACACAGAGTTAATTAAGGATAGTTTGTTTTATTAGTCTCACTACGTCACAGCTACTACAGAGTTAATGTTGCTGAATTGTTGTTATACAGCTATTACAGAGTGCACATTAGCAAGCGCTGCAGAGCAATGCATACAAGAGTAAAAGGCACTTGGAATGCTTACTTCCCTTCTACTAAGGGGAGTCCCGTCCCTGAGCCTCGCTTCAAAGGCCGCAGTCTAGATCCCTGGTGAAACTCACCTGGAACGGTACTCCCCACACTAGTTATATCACAGTTGTTTACCGGATGTGCACACTGGCCGCATGCCACTCTTAGCATTCTCATGAATTTGAAATCAAGGTCGACATGATTTATTCCTCACTACATTCCCAGCTCAGCTGCATGGTCTGCAGCTTATAAAGGCCATCTAGTGTTTGCGTTTGCAGGGTTCAAGGCTGTACTAGGCTGTGTAATCCAAGGCTGGAAACTTCCATCCCAGCCCTCTGGACTGCAGGCTCTGCATATGGCTACTTATGACATGGAGGATTCGACCCTCCAGCCTCCCCTTCTTGGGTAACAAAAACATAAAAAAGTAAATCAGTCCTGTGATCAGGATCCCCCACCATCAGGTCTTCATGATTGATGCAGTGGAGTGAAGGGGGTTTCCTCCTTAAATCTTTGGAAGCCTTGGCTAAAGACCTGTAGACTAGTGGGAGTGCACTGCAGGTGCATTAACAGACATGTTTATGGGATGTCTCTGGTTGGTTAAGAAGTGATATTACCATGTTCTATTGGGGGGGTCTAGTTGATTGGAAAGATCCTTAGAGTTGTTCTGTGAATGCAGAGATCCTCTGGTGGTGCAGAGGTTACAGTAGCAACTTCTCCTTCCTGCTGGGGTTACTAGTCTCTCTCAGCAGATAGTCTCTGGGTCAAGGGAAAACTAAACTCCCAGAAGTGAAGCTGTCCATCCACCTAGCTGAGCAGCTTTGAGTCCCCTCCTTCTGCAACTGATCAGAGAGATGGTTCTGGATTTTGTGGTGTCTGCTCTTGATTTGTTTGTCCTCCATTCAAGTGAAGTGAAATGATGCCTGTGCTTTTGCAGGTGCTGTAATTCCTGTGATGACGTGAGAGAAGCATACAGGCGGCGTGGCTGGGCCTTCAAGAATCCTGACACTATAGAACAATGCAAGAGAGAAGGGTTCAGCCAGAAAATGCAGGAGCAGAAGAATGAGGGCTGCCAAGTGTATGGATTCTTAGAGGTCAACAAGGTGAGAGAGAACTTCACTTTAACTGTGAGCTATGCCAGGCACCTGAAATCCGAGCACTGTCAGTGACCAGGAAGGGGCATAAGTTGGGAATTCCAATCCTTCCCCCACTTTGCATATCTCCACAGTTTGTACCCTAATCTCTGAATTTGTGGCTTTATTGCCTATCTTGGGCACTGAACAGTTTTGGGCCACTCACTGTTAACATGGTAAAAAAAATGAGAAGAAATGGACAGAAGGGCTATGCAGGACTAGGTGAAGGGGGGCCCAATGGAGCAGGGCAGGCAAGACTGGAGAGACTAGGGAGCTTCCTGAAGACCCAGAGGCAGAGGCTGGGGATTCTTTACAGGGAGAGTTCCCTACTCTGTCCCTTAATTTAACCTCCAGATTATAATTTTGTACTTGTCTGAGCAATCACTTGAAAGGCCCAGAACAGAACACACATGGCAGGTTCTTTCTGACTGTTCTTTGAATTAGCTTTTGTGTACCCAGGAAGGTTGAGATGTTCATAACAATAGCCATAGTGGGTCAGACCAAAGGTCCATCCAGTCCAGTACCCTGTCTGCCAACAGTGGCCAATGCCAGGTGCCACAGAGGAAGTGAACCAAATAGGTAATGATCAAGCGATATCTCTCCTGCCATCCATCACCACCCTCTGACAAACAGAGGTTGGGGACACCATTCCTTACCCATCCTGGCTAATAGCCATTTATGGATTTAACCTCCATGAATTTATCTAGTTCTCTTTTAAACCCTGTAATAGTCCTAGCCTTCACAACCTCCTCAGGCAAGGAGTTCCACAGGTTGATTGTGCGCTGTGTGAAGAAGAACTTCCTTTTATTTGTTTTCAACCTGCTGCCCATTAATTTCATTTGGTGACCCCTAGTTCTTATATTATGGGAACAAGTAAATAACTTTTCCTTATTCACTTTCTCCACACCACTCGTGATTTTATAGACCTCTGTGATATCCCCCCTTAGTCTTCTCTTTTCCAAGCTGAAAAGTCCTAGTCTCTTTAATCTCTCCTCATATGGGATCCATTCCAAACTGCTAATCCTTTTAGTTGCCCTTCTCTGAACCTTTCCTAATGCCAGTATTTCTTTTTTGAGATGAGACCACCACATCTGTATGCAGTATTCAAGATGTGAGAGTACCATGGATTTATATAAGAGCAATAAGATATTCTGTCTTATTCTCGATCTCATTTTAATGATTCCTAACATCCTGTTTGTTTGTTTTTTTATTGCCGCTGCACTTTGGCGGACGTCTTCAGAGAACTATCCACAATGACTCCAAGATATCTTTCATGATCAGTTGTTGCTAAATTAACCCCCATCATATTGTATGTATAGTTGAGGTTATTTTTTTCTAATGTGCATCACTTTACATTTATCCACATTAAATTTCATTTGCCATTTTGTTGCCCAATCACTTAGTTTGGGGAGATCTTTTTGAAGTTCTTCACAGTCTGCTTTGGTCTTAACTACATTGAGCAGTTCAGTATCGTCTGCAAACTTTGTCACCTCACTGTTTACCCCTTTCTCTGGATCATTTATGAATAAGTTGAATAGGATTGGTCCTCAGACTGACCCTTGGAGAACTCCACTAGTTACCCCCCTTCATTTGAAAATTTACCATTTATTCCTACCCTTTGTTTCCTGTTTTTTAACCAGTACTCAATCCATGAATCAATCCATGAAAGGATCTTCCCTCTTATGCCATGACAATGTAATTTACACAAGAGCCTTTGGTGAGGGACCTTATCAAAGGTTTTCTGGAAATCTAAGTACACTATATCTACTGGATCCTCCTTGTCCACATGTTTGTTGACCCCTTCGAAGAGCTCTAAAAGATTTGTGAGACATGATTTCCCTTTACAGAAACCATGCTGACTTTTGCCCAACAAATTATGTTCTTCTGTGTGTCTGACAATTTTATTATTTTCTTTTGTTTCAACTAATTTGCCCGGTACTGACATTAGACTTACCGGTCTGTAATTGCTGGGATCGCCTCTAGAGCCCTTTTTTAAATATTGGCATTACATTAGCTATCTTCCAGTCATTGGGTACAGAAGCTGATTTAAAGGATAGGTTACAAACCATAGTTAATAGTTCCGCAATTTCACATTTGAGTTTTCAGAACTCTTGGGTGAATGCCATCTGTTCCCGATGACTAGTTACTGTTAAGTTTATCAATTTGTTCCAAAAGCTCCTCTAATGATACTTTAATCTGTGCAAATTCCTCAGATTTGTCACCTACAAAGGATGGGTCAGGTTTGGGAATCTCCCTTACATCCTCGGGCGTGAAGACTGAAACAAAGAATTAATTTAGTTTCTCCTCAATTACTTTATCGTCTTTAAGTACTCCTTTTCTATCTCGATCGTCCAGGGCCCCCATTGGCTGTTTAGCAGGCTTCCTGCTTCTGATGTACTTAAGACATTTTGTTATTACCTATTGAGTTTTTGGCTAGCTGTTCTTCAAACTCCTTTTTGGCTTTTCTTATTACATTTCTTCACTTAATTGGCAGTGTTTATGCTCCTTTCTATTTACCTCAGTGGGATTTGACTTCTACTTTTTAAAAGATGCTTTTTATCTCTCACTGCTTCTTTCACATGGTTGTTAAGTCACGGTGGCTCTTTTTTAGTTCTTTTGCTGTGTTTTTTAATTTGGGGTTTACTTTACAAGGAATTTACATTGGCCAAGTTATGTTGATCAGGTGTGTGGACAATCTACACCCCTGGGCACTGAGGTTATGTCAACCTAACCCCCAAGGGAGAGAACACTATGTTGATGGAAGACCTTCTCCAATCAACATAGCTCCCACCTCCCCCTGCATCAGTGGGAGAAGCTCTCTCGTTGACATGGGTCACATCTTCTCTAAGCACTACTGCAGCACAGATGCACTGAAGCAGCCCTAAGCATAGTCAAGCCTATGAAGAGTTTTCATTGATGGCTTGTCTGCACATCAAATGCCACAGCAATGCAGCTACAGTGGTAGAGAAATTTTTTCTCTGCCTTTTGTCCTGAGGTGACACGTACTCAGTTAATATGGGGATAATTGAAATCCCCCACTATTATTAAGTTCTTTATTTTGAGAGCCTCTCTAATCTCCCTTAGCATTTCATAGTCACTATCACTATCCTGATCAGGTGGTCGATAATAGATCCCTACTGTTATATTCTTATTAGAGCATGGAAGTACTATCCATAGAGATTCTATGGAACATGTTGATTCATTTAAGATTTTTACTTCACTTGATTCTACATTTTCTTTCACATGTAGTGCCACTCCCACACCCACACGACTTATTCTGGCCTTCCAATATATTTTGTACTCGGAATGATTGTGTTCCATTGATTGTCCTCACTCCACCAGGTTTCTGTGTTGCCTATTATATCAATATCCTCCTTTAACACGAGGCACGCTAGTTCACCCATCTTATTATTTAGACTTCAGTAAATTCAAAGGGTCCTAAAGGAGTTAAGGGTCCAATTGCTATCAGAAGTTTGGGGAACTGGCATCTAACTCCCTTCAGCCCCTTGGCTGACCTTCTAGTTATCTATTCTTGTTTGTTCAGTGCTTTATTGTCACATTTAACCTCACTCTGGAAATATGCATTACCTTTTAGGGCCAACACACTTACTCTTCTTTAGTTTCTTTTCTTCCTCATCTTCCTTTTCTGTTTCTCTTCCCCTTTCATAGGGGTCTACTCTCATCAGCCCTGCAGTACCTTTCAGTTCCTACCACTGTGGACTTCACTCTCATATCTTCATGGTTGTGTCTGGCAAAAATGGTCAGTCATGAAATAGTTAATGTTGATATTAACTTATTCTCTTGTTTTGATATTCTGGTGAAATTCTGGTGAAATTCTTGCCTCTCAGAGTCATTATTTCAGGCTTGCTGCATGTTGCATTGTTACTTTTTGGTCACATTAAGAAGATTATATCCATAAGCAGGAAATATTGTATGTATTTTAAATGTGAACTTAGATTCTGCACAATCTGCATAGCCCCCACACACATCAAATTTGGTGCATGAATACGATGTCTGACATCTCGGCTCTATGCATTTCCTGCAGGTAGCTGGAAACTTTCACTTTGCACCTGGAAAAAGCTTTCAGCAATCTCATGTCCATGGTAAAGTATGTCAGTTTTTTTTTTCTTTTGGCTTCCTGACTTTCTGGCGTATTTGTTTTCTCTGAATATTTCCCTCTGATTCCCATGTATGAACTAAGATGAATAAAGTTGTCTGAAGTAGCACTGCCATTAATTGGCAGAAGTGTCATGATAGGAGGGGAAAACCATCAGAAGCAAGTAGAGAAATGTTGGGTGGAGGAAGAACTGGGAGGATGTAGGACCAAAAATGAGCCACGACTATGTAGAACCAGTTTGTCTCATCTAATTAAGCACCACTTTTCTGCTATAATAAGCTCTGTGTGTTCAGTCCAAAAATGTTACATGAAGAATTTTAAAGCAATTCAAGTTATTTTATATGGAAGTTAGGCAAGTTAGTATTTCTGTAATAATAGTGTTTTAATTTATGCCTTAATATATATGGCTTTCAAACAAGAATATTTAAAATAGATTTAAGATGAGAAGTATTTATGTAACTTAATAAAATGTTGCAGTTCCACAAACTTAAATATTGTAAATTCTAGTGTTCAGAGTTAAGTTTTTGACAAAGACTTTTAATCTCTACCCTTATCTGCTGCACCATGCAACAATCCATTATGTGGTATATGCAGATCCATATTTATAGATTTAAAATAATGTGAAGTGCCTTAAAAGCCAATATTAACTTCTCTGTGCACTTGGGGGGCCTTCTGCATCAGGGGGATGAGAGGCCTGGGCAGAGTAGGGGGGTGGGCACCAGCATGACTGGCTCCACTCCACTCCACCAGACTCCCAGCCTTGCTCAAAAGAGGAGGGGTCAAGGGCTTTGGGGAAGATTGGGAATGGGGTGGGGCGGAGCAAGGGCAGGAAGAGATGGGACGGGACAAGGACTGGGACAAAGAGAGGGGGATTGTCTTGGGGGTTCCCGTGCATCCCTAGGCTTGGCCCTGGCATTAGGTGTGAGCAGAGACTAGTTGACCTACTCTAGTTAGGACACATAATTCCCTTTATATACAGTGGATGAATTCAGCATAACTATCTGATTATATGCATCTGATGAGGTCTTGTACCCACATCAGGAACATGAATATGATGATAATGGCTCTAGTCAGTATAGAGAGGGTGGAAGGGATAGAACAGTCTTGTAGAATGTTGGATAGGGCTGTGTAGTTATTGCAAACTGTATGCAGAGGATAAGCTTTATGAAACTATGCCTTTAACTATAATAGGAAGGTTGGGGAGGAGTTATTTAGTGCCACAGAATGCTGCATATATGCGCGCACACCTCTTTCTTTTGAGGAGTTCCTTCAAATTAAAAATTGTTGAAGGAGAAGGGATTTGGTTGTAACTGAAAAACTTTTTTGTTAAAAGATTCTTTTTTTTTTCTTGGTCCAAAAAAAGAAAGGGGTGCCTATTTGAAATCTGAAAAGACTCAACTAGCCTATTAGAGCTCAATTCCACATGGTAACTGCATATCAGAATTCTCTTCGTAAATTCTCAAGATTAGTTCAAACACTTGTCTTTTCAGATAAGTACTTCGACACCTCAATAAGGCAGTTGCACTAGTGATGTCTCAAGTTCAGACTGAGGGATAATCTTCAAAACAACGTGCTAACTGCAGCCACCGGGGTTTTCATCAGATTTCTGGCATTGCTTGTGGAGTATATTCACTACCATGTGTTTTTCAACCTACCCAAGTTTTTACAGTTATAGGAGCAATCCTAGATATACATACTGCTTCAGTTTTCCTTTCTCCACCCCACTTTGAGCTTTCTGGAATCCATGTTGCTGCTGAAAAATGAGGATCCTGGAGCTAATGGCCTTATACATATTCATTGACAAGTGAGCCTGCTCCAGTTAGGTTAAACAGCCATTACTTGCCTGGTCTCAGTGTGGCGGTCAAGCTTCCTCAGCCAGTTCAGAAGGCATTAGGTGGTGGTCAGTTTCACAAAGTGTCTTGCAGAATTTCTAATGCTGTGCTTTCTCAGTCTTGAAGTGCTTTTGTTTTAGGATAGGGAGCTGCAATAGACCATCTAATTACTGAAAACTTATGAAAAACAAGACGTTGGGGTTGGTATACTGGCACTTGGGGCAATTCCGATGTCACTCAGCTTTCTCCCTGTGATCATGTACAGGCTATTGGATACTTGGAACCCAAGTTAAACAAATTATTGATAGGTTCTATCAGAAAACTGACTTTTCTACAGAAAAAGCTGAAATTATTTTTTATATATTAAGGCTAGAAGGAACCATTATAATAATCTAAACTGACTACTTTTCTAACCCATCCCAAAGAACTTTACCCAATCATTTCTGCATTAACAAAGACATCCAGTCTTGATTTATAGATCTGTTGGAGAATCCATGATACTCCTGTACACTTATTATGAATAATAAGAACATTATTTCTAGTCAAATGTGTCTAGCTTCAGTTTCCAATCATTGGATTTCTTCATGCCTCTTTCTGTTGGAATAAAGAGCTGGCTACTATCAGAAATCTCTCTGGGGACTGATGGGCTGTGCTCAAAGCACCCCTTGACCTTTTGTTGGATAAATTAAACAGATTGAATGTCTTTAGCTGCTGACTGCGTAGTAGGAATTCTGGACCGGAGCACATTATGTCAACACAGTTACCTTTATCAACCAAACTTGCAATCCAATCAAAACAAATACAGAATTTTTATAAGACCTATTTTATATAAAATTATGTTGAATCACATTAATTATGCCACTATCTTTTATTCTTCATTCATTGCACCTCAAATTCACTTTTCCACGTTCCAGATCATGCTAACCAGCATATGTTTTCTGGATCATCCTGTTACCCTTTTAAAAAGCTGGCATAACAATAACTTTTTTTTAAAATTCTCTGGAACTTCTTCACTGTTCTAAGCTTTGTTAAAACTCAACATTAATGGTTGAGAGAGCTCTTTGGACAATTATTTTAATCCCGAATCAAATTTATCTCCATTCCTATAGATTGTTAAAACAGCAGTTATTGAATATTATAAAAAATCTCCCTAATTACTGATTGAATAGAAAGTGTTTCATCTTCTAATATATATTTGAGGGAGTTTGTGCATCTGTGTGTGTGTCTGTCTGTCTGTTCGTCCGTGAGTGTGTTTGTTCAAGAACTCTGCCTACATGGTAAGAGCTAAGACAATCAAATTTGGTATGCAGTTTCCTCTTATTATAATTTAAAGCAAGGTCAGGGCTTGGTTATGCCAGGACAATGGGATGTTCATGGAATGCGATTGTTTCTCATCAAATGGAAAGGTAGGACTGTGGGAAGGGCATAATAAGTGGGATTTGACAGGGGTGTGTTTTGGGACCTGTTCTGTTCCATATCTTCATCTACGATTTAGATATTGGCATAGAGAGTATGCTTATTAAGTTTGTAGACGACAAGAAGCTGGGAGGGGTTGCAAGTGCTTTGGAGGATAGGGTCATAATTCAAAATGATCTGGACAAACTGGATAAATGGTCTGAGGTAAATAGGATGAAGTTTAATACACACACATGCAAAGTACTTCACTTAGGAAGGAACAATCAGTTTCCCACATACAGCTTGGGAAGTGACTGTCTAGGAAGGTTAATTCTTTTGCTTTGCTCTGCACTGACTAGGCCACAGTTAGAGTATCCAGTTTTGAGAGCCACATTTCAAGAAATATGTGGAGAAACTAGAGAAGGTGCAGAGAAGAGAACAACAAAAATGATTAAAAGTCTAGAAAACATGACCTATGAGAGAAGACTGAAAGAATTGGAACTTGTTTAGTTTAGAAAAGAGAAGACTGAGAGCAGACATGACAGCAGTTTTCAAGTACCTAAAAGGGTGTTCGAAGGAGGAGGGAGAAAAATTGTTCTCCTTGGCCTCTGATGATAGGACGAGAAGCAATGGGCTTAAATTGCAGCAAGGGAGGTTTAGGTTGGACATTAGGAAAAAAGTCCTAACTCAGGGTGGTTAAACACTGGAATAAATTGCATAGCGGGGGTTATGGAATTTCCGTAACTGGAGATATTTAAGAACAATTTGGATAGACATATATCAGGGATGATCTAGATCAGTGTTTCCCAGTTTTATTTGGCCACAGAACCCTTTTAAACTCAGAAGAATTTTGAGGAACCCCTACAGCTGGGGAGGAAATTTGTCAAGCAAAAAAAAGAAAAACCCGCCACAGGGGAGTGGACCTGGGGGCCAAAATGCAATCAGTCATGTTCCGAGCAGGCTTTGGAAATGCAGCATGGCAGTGCGGGAAGGGAGGTGCTGGTGGGAAACTGGAGAAGGAGCCGGCGTCTCTGTCTCTTTTTAAGGGTGGGGGGGGAGTGATCAGGTTCTCGCAGAATCCTTACTTTCACTTCGCGGAATCCCAGGGTTCCGCAGAGCACCATTTGGGAAACAGTGATCTAGATGGTGCTTAGTCCTGTTGTGAGGGCAGGGGACTCCAAAATGACCACAATGGGGCATCAAGCTTGGGGGCAGTTATACTGCTGAATACCACAGGGGGTAGCAAAGAAGTGCACCCCACTGTCCTGACAGCCCCAAGGAACACCACTACTGGCTGGTCGTGCACCCATCCTCTGGCTCTGACTTCCCACCTCCTGCCCTAACTTCTTCCCTCCCCAATCCCTCCCTGTGCCCGCTACACCTCCCAAGCTCTTGCCCTGACTCCTGAACTCCTTGTCCTGCCTCCTGCACCCCTCCCCCCATTCCCAGCTTCCTTCCCTGGAGTACCTAAGCAACACAGGTAAATCATCTAGTTACTTAAGAACATATAGGAACATGGAACAGCCATACTGGTCAGACCAAAGGTCCATCTAGCCCAGTATCCTATCTGCTGACAGTGGCACCACTACAGATGCCCTAGAAGGAGGGAACACAACAGGTAATCCTCACGTGATCGCTCTTGAGTCATTCATTTCCAGACAAACAGAGTAGCCATTGATGGACCTTGCCTCCATGAATCTATCTAGCTCTCTTTTTGAACCTTGTTAAAGTCCTAGTCTTCCCAACATTCTCTGGCAAG